ACACCCCCGAGCCCTGAAATCCACCCTGACACACCCCAAAAACACCCCTGAGCCCTGAAATCCATCCTGACACACCCCAAACCCTGCCCCCAAACACACCTGGGCACCCCAAAAACCATTGCCACGGCCCCCTACGGGGACAAGGAGACCCGGCAGATCCTCAAGATCTGGCGGGACACCCCAGAAACACCTGTGGGCACCCCCAAAAACACACTTGAACCCTCTCAGGGTCCCCCCTGACCCACTTGGGGCTCCCCCAACTCATTGTCAGGTTCCCCTGACCCATTTTTTACTCCCCGTGACCCATTTTCTGGTCCTCTTGACTCATTTTTTACTCCCCCTGACACATTTGGAGGCTCCCCTGACCCATTTTGGGCTCCCCTGACCCATTTTTTACTCCCCCTGACCCATTTTGAGGCTCCCCTGACCCGTTTTTGGGCTCCCCCCGCCCCGTTTTGGGGGTGCAGGTGCGAGGAGGAGGACGTGGAGATGTCGGAGGACGCCTACGCGGTGCTGACGCGCATCGGGCTGGAGACGTCGCTGCGCTACGCGATGCAGCTCATCACTGCTGCCAGCCTGGTGGCCAGGAAACGCAAGGTGGGCACCCCAAAACCTTGGGGGTGGACCCCTAAACCTTGGGGGTGGACCCCTAAACCCAGGGAGGACCCCAAAACCCGGGGGCAGGACCCCCAGAGCACGGGGAGCAGGGGCTGGGCAGGGTCGGAGCCTTCGCTGTGGGACGCAGCTCGTCACCCCAAAATTGTGGGGTGAGACCCTAAAATTAGGGGGTAAGACCCCAAATAGGGGGAGGACCCCATAACTGGGGGCAGGACCCCCAAAACCCAGAGAGAACCCCAAAACCCAGGGGGCAGGACCCCCAGAGCACGGGGAGCAGGGGCCAGCGGTGTCGGAGCCATCGCTGAGGGACGCAGCTTGTCACCCCAAAATTGCGGGGTGGGACCCTAAAATTAGGGGTTGGGACCCCAAATAGGGGGAGGACCCTCTGACTATGGGAAGCAGACACCGCACCGCTGGTCACCAGCCTGGTGCAAGGTGGGGGGACCCAAAATTAGGGGGCAACGTGTGGGACCTGGACACCGGGTGGGGGTTTGGGGGGATCTGGGGAAAATTTGGGCGGGAAAGGTGAGGGGACAAAAGGGCGAGAAATGTGAGGGGATGAAAAGGGCGGGGAATGTGAGGGGAAAAGGGAGGGAAATGTGAGGGGAAAGGGTGGGAAATGTGAGGAGGAAATGGAGGGAAACATGAGGGGAAAAGGGAGGGAAATGTGAGGGGTAAAGGGCGGGAAATGTGAGGGGAAAATGGAGAGAAATGTGAGGGAAAAGAGTGGGAAACGTGAGGGGAAAAGGGCGGGAAACGTGAGGGGGAAAGGGTGGGAAATGTGAGGGGGAAACGGTGGGAAATGTGAGGGGAAAAGGGTGGGAAATGTGAGGGGAAAATGGAGGCAAATGTGAGGGGAAAATGGCGGGAAATGGGAGGGGAAAAGGTGGGAAACGTGATGGGAAAAGGACGGGAAACATGAGAGGAAAAGGGTGGGAAACGCGAGGAGAAAATGGAGGGAAATGTGAGGGGGGGGAAATGGCGGGAAATGTGAGGGGAAAATGGAGGCAAATGTGAGGGGAAAATGGCGGGAAATGGGAGAGGAAAAATGGTGGGAAATGGGAGAGGAAACATCTTGGGGTCCCCTCTGACATTTTGGGGTCCCCCCACCTTTGCTCCCCAGGGCACGGAGGTGGGCGTGGAGGACATCAAGCGCGTGTATTCCCTGTTCCTGGACGAGTCGCGCTCCACCCAGTACATGAGGGAATACCAGGAGGCCTTTCTGTTCAACGAGCTCCGTGAGCACCTGGGGGGCACCTGGGGGCACCTGAGGGACACCTGGGGGCACCTGGGCACACCTGGGGTGGCTGCTGGAGACACCTGGGGGGCTACCCGGACACATCTGAGGGACACCTGGGGGCATCTGGGCACACCTGGGGTGGCTGCTGGAGACACCTGGGGGGCTACCTGGACACACCTGAGGGGCACCTGAACACACCTGGGGACACTTGGGCACACCTAGGGGGCACCTGGGCACACCTGAGGGACACCTGAGGGGCACCTGGACACACCTGGGGCGGCTGCTGGGGACACCTGGAGACACCTGGGGGGCGCCTGTGCACACCTGAGGTCACCTGGGGGACAGCTGGACACACCTGGGGGTACCTGGACATACCTCAGGGGCACCTGGCATACCTGGGGGGCACCTGGACACATCTGGGGGGCTCCTGGGCACACCTGGGGACACCTGGGGGCATCCAGACACACCTGGGGGGCTCCTGGGCACACCTGAGGGGCATCTGGACACACCTGGGGGGCTACCTGGGGACACCTGAGGGGGACCTGGGC